CCCCAAAACCCCAAAACCCCAAAACCCCAAAACCCCAAAACCCCATCAAAGAGTTGATTGTAGTGATAGTGTTTTTAAAGGTTTATTCAAAATATAAAGATAATCAAAACTGTATGTATAATCAAAAGGAATATGAATGCATCCTTCTTCTTAGAATTTCAAGATTAAGTTCGGGCATTGTTAATTCATGCTCTTCATAATCGAAGGGTGATTTATGGCCATCATTTTCATCATGAAACTATTGATAACTTTCAAATTTTCTCGAGGCTACTACCCATGTAATGATCAAGAAAACTAGACTGAAGAATGACCACCATATACATACTCTAAATCCCCAAACCATACCAACTAGCTCATCATCAAACATATCCATTACTGCAGCAGATAGGACTGGTGATAAGAAAAACCCTCCAAGGTTAAATATAAGTTAACTCATAGATGAACTTGCAGCTTGATGCTCTCTACTCACACTGTTAACAACAATTCCTGTGGCTGTAGGAATTAAAGCTGCTCCAAAGAAAAGCAAACTCCATAATAATGGCATAATATAGAGAATATTACTAAGAAACCCAATGGGGACTGAAAATATGAATGCGCAAGTTCCAAAGGCTATACATAATTTTATAGCTGTTAATACATTCTTCCCCTTATAACCTCCCTAAAAATTATTTATGTCTAATAAATACTAACATTTTTATCAGCTAAATATCCACCCATCGCAGCACCTGGGATAGGTGCAGTAATACTTGTTATAGAAAACAAAATTGTAACTACAGCTGGATCTTCGTCAAGAACATTTATGCAGTAAGCAGTCATCCAGAATTAAATTCCAGTGACTACGAAATATATGCAGCATAGTGAGCATGTTGTGAATATGAATATCCAATTTGTTATAAGTTCCTATTTTAAAAATATATTGATAGATTTTTACTTTGAATTAATGAAGGAAGAGCTCGAAGTCATTCTTTTATATGCTGATAACATCAATTCTTACGCTTCTTCTATTTACGTCATTTACTGAACTTCTATTGTCATAGTTTGACCTTTTTTCTTAATTTTAAGATTAGGCTTGATTTTTAGGGGTGTTTTAATCACTTTATTCACCTGGCTACTAGAAAACATTGTTTGATATATTTTCTTTGTGAGCATCTGATATTGATTTTGCTCTTTATAAAGTTTCAGCAGCTCTATTAGCAGCGAAAATGTCTAATGCCTTATTGTCACTGAAGAAAAAGCATACACCTATTACAATCATGAACCATCCTTACATCATGAATGCAAATCTCCAATTCAAGAATCTTCCTAAAACCGTAATAGTAAATGCTCCAAAAATATAGCCAACCATTATACCAATAACTGCAAATGAATGTAAAACTGCCATCCATTTAGTATTGGACTTTCTCGGAGAGAACTCATTAACCCAAACTGGAGCATATATAACACAAAATGCTTAGGTAAAGCCAAGAATAAATCTCATAGTTACCAGAATCCACCATTAAGAAGATATTGAGAATATTAAACAAGCAATAGCATTGCATATCATGTTCAATCCCAAAACTACGTTAGCACTTATTTTTTGGAAAATCAAACTAACAAACAAACTACTAACACTCAATCCAAAATATACTAAAGATCCCATTAGCGCCATCTGTGATTAGCCTAGCTAAAGATCCTTTTCTATTTGAAATAAGCATGCTGGGATCACACCATTATCATAATTTAGGAATAGATTTCCTAGAACAAATAAAACGAAGATCCTTCGCCTTTAAGCCCAATTAATTGTAGTGTCCTCAAAGTCTGATTCCTCCTCAATTCTTTCAAGTGTTGATTTTCTAATTGGTCTACCTGGTTCACCTCTTTCATAACTAGAATATTATCATGCCTTATTCTTACTGAATTACTTAACCTTGATTCTGACTAGAATTGAAGTTAAACTGTTTTTATTTTGGCTAGTTTTGTCTTTGGGAACTTGGATTCAATTAAAAGTTTAGCGCTCCACTTCCTGGACTTATCACTGAGTTTGCAACATTAGAATTGACAGCTTATTATCTTGCTGATCCATCTTAATTTCTTTGACTAAAATCACTAGCTAAAAAATCAATGATTTTTAATTTACCACCAGGTTCAAGATCATCATTAGCTCTCAATTAATTCTGATCTTTTTTATTTCTGTCTATATCAACTTCCATATTCATATTTAAATTCGTTTATTTAATAAATTAATATAAATTAAACTCATGGGGTTTTGGGGTTTTGGGGTTTTGGGG